GTCCTAGTTTTGTAGTCTTTGTTGCCCAGCATGATCCTCGCAGAGCATGCTGAGTAAGACTGACATCTTTAATTTTGATGCGCTGCATGTCCCCGAACCGCATGCTGGTGTGGGCCGCCAAAAGAAATGCGCCCAGTGTGATGCGCAGGTTATGCGTGCAGTCGGCTGCACAAACTTTACGCTCCCAGGATGCCAGAATTGCCAGGGGCAGAGGCAGAGCCTCCTTTCTTTCCTGAGGCTGCTGAGGGGAAGCGAAGGCTTTTGCGAGAGGGTTGGAGAGAAGAATGGCTAACGATTCAATTTGACCTATGCGAGCAAGCCAAGAAAGCGCTTTTAGCATGGGTCGAGGTGCTATGCGTACGCTGCTGCGGTCTTCCAGCTTGGAGTTTTCGCAGGCATGCAAAAGGTCCACCAGGTGCACGAGAAGCAGGTTTTCCAAGCCGAAGCCAAGTGCTTTGATGAATGCCAAAAAGGCGCGTATGCACCTGAAGTACTGGGCAATGGTGGACGGTGTGTATGCACGGAGCGACGCCTCGAAGGCCGCGTATGGGTCCTGAGATGCAGCTGCGGCCACAAAGGTGATTGAGCAGGATCCAATTTGTGCTAGCAGGTCCTGCCAGTCTTGAATGCACTTCTCGCGTTGGGTGGCTTGGCTCTGTGCATGCGGGCCGAGTTTGGCCTGTCTGAAACGAGGGGCTATGGCCCGTCCTGGCTGGGCCCTTGACCCGAGGTCTAAGGGACCGGGGTTGAAGGGTGCCGCTGATGGCTCGTGCCGGATTGCTGAATGCGGTTTGGGTGCCTGCCCAATGCTGCGGGGCTGCGGCCTGCAAGGCGGTCGTGGCAACGGGTGGCAATGCTCTGCAAACCATGGGAAAAGAGGTGACGGCTGCGTCACTGGCAGGCCTCCACGGGCGAGGATTGGTGCAGGCTGAGCTTTGGGGCTCGGGCATGCTGATTTCTTCTGGAGCCGGCTCCAGCGGCACGGACTCCTTCACCTCCGATGCATGCGTTGGGAGGCAGTCTTCGGGGAGCTCCGGTGGGTCTGGGCGGAGCAAGCTTGCTGGCTTTGCCTTGCACTTGGGCTTCGCTGTTGCGGATGCATGCTCGGGGGCCGGCGCAACATGCGGGTCCGAAAAATCGAGGAGGTCGGTGTTGGATGGACCCGGTGCGTTGGATGCGTCCTCTGGCTGCATTGACCCTGCATCGGACTGCTGCTGCGTAAGCATGCGGATGATTTCCTGCAAGAATGCGGGATTGTTCTGGTTCTCCGCCACCATGCGCTGCAAGTCCATGGCGAAGGATGCTGGACGAGGCAGGCGTAAAAAGCGGGCACTGTTGCTGTATGGCAGAAAAAGGGCTGACACGGGCAAGAAATGGGTCATGCGACCGTGACAGCAGGACATGCTGCAACATGCGATGCTATCAGCGTAACAGGGCTCACGTGAGGAGGTCGACGTCTGCATGCCGCGGAGTGTCCACGCCTTGGGTGCGTGTCTTCAAGGCATGCAGTGTGAAAATTGGAAAAACAGGCTGCACAAGTTCGCGGCGCATACTTTTAATCCTGATTTCCCGTGCAATCTGGCACGCTGCACACGTGGGTTGCCTTGCATGCTTTATCGTAAAAATTATCGGCTTGGAACCTGATGCAGTAAGGTGCATGGCGTTGCGAGGCGGGTTGAGGCAGGCCTGGCGGAAAGGCTGAAACTGAGCTGGGCTCTGGTTGCGAGGGGCTGGGCATGCACTGAGTCCACTCGTCGGCCAGCTCTGCCAACTCGTGATGCCTGTCTGACCACTGCAAGAAATGCGCACTGCGGGGCATTGGAAGCATGTGGACATAGGAGTTGATGCTCTCCAGCAACGCGATGCTGGAGCGGATGGTGAGAGCTATGTCCTCCATCATCAGGCATGCCTCCCACTCGCGAAGCAATTCTAAGCACGGTTGCATGTTTGTATGCATGCTGTGCCTAGAGCGAAATTTGACATTTGACAACAGTGCGGAGAAAGGCTGGATAATGGCCAGGTACTTGCCGGCCATGCGATAGCCCGCCGAAATGCCTTTGCGGTTCTGAAGCATGCGGTCCATGTCCAAATGCGGGTCGATGCGAAGGTAGTCGACGAAGAAAGTTGACAGGGAATGCAAGCGTGCTATGCAAAAAGTCATGCCGCGCACCCCCAAAATGCAGAGGATGTCAAGCAAGAAGTTGCAAAGATGCCCCATGCGATTGATGCATTTGAGTCGAATTCGATGCTCTGGGTGGCGCATCCACTTGTCAAGCAGCTGTGCGAAGCCTTCTTGCAGGATGCGGGAAGGCGAAGCGTCTGCGCGGTGGCACTGGGGCCATTGGCGCGGGGTGAGTTCCTCGATATCTTCGATGGAGTCAAGGCATGCGTCAGCTTCTGCAACCAGAGCCATGCTAGTTAGCGGAAATGGAGGGTGGCCAGGATTAGAACCTTGAGTCAACTGCGGAGACCGCATGTTTAACATGCATTGGCTGCAACCCTGGCAATCCACTGAGACTGGCGCGTATGCAGGCGGTCACCTTAGTACCGGCTGTGCATAGCCATGATTACTTGGACGGTGTCAGCACACAGCAAGTGGCAGTAGTGTTTTAATGCGTCCAGGCATGGTCATCCTGCGTGCCAAGTCGAGGCATGCTGATGCGCTCGCAGCATTGATGCTGTTAAAAAATCTTCTGTCTGAAAGACAGAGGGCAAGGTTTGCAAAAAGGCGGCAAATGCAAACAGGGTCAGCATGACCATGCAGAAGGCCACAATGCGCATGTAGAAGCGTATGCTGTGCAAGACGAACATGAAGTCTTCGAGGGCTATTTCCAAGTCCAGGTAGCTTCTTGCGATGGTCTCATGCATTGCGTCCAGTATCTCATGCTGTTCCATGCCGCAGGCGTGTGCGGATCGGAAAATTTGGCTGCAGGCTGGTCGGCTGCGGGATGCGCATACACTGCGGGCATGCGTTGTGCATACGCGACCGCGAAACGCGGCTCATTATGCGAACAGAGTCTGGGATGCTGGCCCCTATGTGAGTCGCGACTCTGAGGGCGATACCTGCGGGATGTCAACGTTGGCGAGGACTCCGTAGCGGAGCCTTGCATTATGCTACGCCTGCGGGCGGAGCTTGCAAGCAAGGTTTCAGAACCTTGACTGCCGTGTAGTGGTGACTGGTACATGCGTGTACGGGCACTCACTGCTCAATGAAGCTGCTATATGCCAGCTGCTCTCAGGGCCTGCGGGCTGAGGGGGAGCTGGATTGTTGATCCTGCGCACACCTTGGTTGCAACAGCGGTGCAACCAGACCTGAAGGCGGCGGCGCCTAAAGTGTAAGGTCGGTGCCGGCCGCTCTTGCGAACACAGTGGTACGCAAGAGAGTGGCCTGGTTCCGAGGCTGCAAATGCGTTGCAGCTCGGCAGCAGGAGACAGGCATGCGATGCATAGACATTGCAAGATCCTGTGAGTCGGGGCACACGCGGTGCGGCCGACTGCTGGGAAGCCTCTGCGGGGCAACCCAGTCCTGTTTGCGAGACATGCTTATGCAAGGACACGCGGCCTTGTGCATGCGCCTGGCCTGCAAACGCGATGCAGCCTGGCCTGAATGAGGTTGGCAAGCAGCTGCGCCTCAAACAGAGGCGTCGCTCGGGGCACTGCGGTGCGGCCGAGGGGTAAATTGCCGTGCATGCCTCTGCGGGGCAAGCGGCTGGGATGAGGTTGGCACGCAGGTGCGCCTCATGCATGTGTCTAGCCAAAGGCATGCGGCCCGGCTGGAATAATGCAAAAATTAGCAAAGGAGCAACAGCGGTGCGTCCCCTGCATCTGAGGCCGGTGCCTGAAAGGTGAATGCGGGCTTGAGTGCAAGCGTGGTCCACTGTAGGCAGGCCGGCGGGAAACCACAACATGTGAGTCATGCATGCAAGTCCGTGCGCGTGAGAGGTGGCAATGCACGATGCATTCACGAAAGGCATTATAAATGGCAGGCACGCAGCTAGTGCCAAAAAGGGCGAGTGGCCGCCTGACTGCTTGGGTGGTTAATTTTAGGCATGCACTGGATGAGTCGGGTGCGTCACAGGCTACCCATGCTGAGCCTGCGGCGACGTTTGTACTCCGAGTGAGACGTCCATGCGGCTTGAAAATTGCACTGGCAGGGACTTGGAACCCATGCGGCAAGAAGCATGCTGCTGCTTTTGAATGTTGGAATGGCACATTCACGAAAGACACAAACAAATGCAAGCGTGCAGCTGGGCGGAAGGCCGCCTGATTGCTTGGGTGGTTAATTTCAGGCATGCGCTGCGGCGAGTCAGGTGCGGTCACAATCGAAGCATGCTGAGCTGGTGCGCAGTTGTGCTGCAAGCGAAAGAAAAAGGCATGCTGCACTCACCCTGCACGCCTGGGGCGGTTCAGGTGCCGTGCTTCGTTTTCGGAAGTCTCGTCGGATGCCGAGTCTGAGTCGGATGCGGGGACCACTCCGAGGCCCTGCGTGAACCAGCGCAGATCTGAGTGGTTCCACCACTCCGTGGCCTGGAATGCGGTGCGGTCGCTGGGGGTAAGGCAGTCCCATACGCCGACTGCTATGCCAGGTGTCAAAAAAGAAGTGCACCCGAAGGTACGCGGTGCAGCAGGAGTGGTAGATGCTGGGGCGTCGTCGGGCACGGAGGTGTGCGCGATCCATGCCACGGCGCGTAGTGCATGCGTGGCTCTTGCATCCAGGAACTGCCAAATCAAAGATGATGCAAAATGCATGCACAACTCAAATGCGGCAAAGGCCATGGCGGCGCGGCAGTGCGAAGTTCAAAAAAGAACGAAAGAGGGGTCAAACCCTCCAGGCATGTCCCTTACCAAAAGGCTTGAACCAGAAATGGCGCGCGGCCGAAGATTCAACCAAGATTAAAACACAGGGGAAAAGACAAACCCCTAGCGTTGTTTATTGGCACCTGCACCAGATGGTTGGGGTCGAAGGATACGTAGGTGTTGTCGATTCGGAGTTTGCCTGGCTACGTGAAGTTTGCGCACTCCTGCCCAACCGCCAGGGGCAGACCCGGCCCCTGTTGACTCATGCGTCATTATTGGCCGCGCTGACCGGCGGCGCGCTACTAGTGTGGGTGCTTTGCAGGATTGGAGGGCTGTCCTGCCCGTTGCTTTCTCTATACTTAGGAGACTGTAAGTGCAAAGCTAAAACCGCTATGGTCACCAACTGTCCCCTTTCGGACCAGCAGCTTGGAGTACTTGATGACATTGGGTACGGCACGCTACCCAACTTGGGCTCATCCTTCCTGGACGTTTTGGCCTTGCGCCTGAAGGTTGGAAACGTGCCAAGGGCAACACAGCCCTGGTCGAAGCCGCCACCAAAGGTATGCGCACAGTTGGTCAACGTTTGGCTGCGTGGCAATGACTCGGTTGCGGTGAGGGCAACTTATGTTGGGACCTTTGTAGTTAGCACCTTGCCCTACGTTGCTTCTCTCCATCCTCCGCTTGCCAAAGATGTCGCGCATCTTGATGCCCTTGTCAACCGTGCTGTCCTTCGTCGCCCCTTCTGGCGGGCTCGCTGGTCTGCGGCAGTCCTTCGGTGGCTCCGCATTGCACAGCAGGCGCCTGTTGAAGTCACTCATGCAGCTGCTGTCCGCCTATGGGTCCGCAGGCGGCCGTGCCAAGCTTTACCGGGTGACGGCCCTCTCCCGAGCACGCACCGGCGAATTCGCAAGCTTTTTGCCAAGTGGCAGGCCCGGGCGCCTGCCCCTGACTTCGCGCGCCTGCGCAATGCCTGTAGAGGGCCCGCGAGTTCTGCCGCCCATTCTGCCGCACGGGCTACGTCCGCCTTCAAGGCGGTTACATTGCAGTGGTATTTGCGGCAGGCAACTAGCTACCTCCGCTCTAGGTGGCCCGGCAGCCCCTGCTTCTGCCCTTGGATCCATTAACGACTGGTGGCTGCAACAACGCCGTCCTGACGGTGCCCCAGGACCATGCCTTGCACTTGCCTCTCCGCCACTCTTGCGCGTAGCTATCCCTTTTTTTGTCACCAGCGCGCCTTGGGGCAATTGCCATCGGTCACGAAACATGACGTCAATCATACAGAAAGAGGTGAAACATGTGAGACACAGAATCATCATCCGGGCCAAAATGTAACGGCCGAAACCAAACAAAGAGACAGCGAAGCAACGAACCGAACCAACAGGAACCAAACACACAAAACACAAAACGACAACGAAGAGCCTAGCCCCGCAGATGATGGAGAACGAAAATCCGCAGTGGCTCAAAAACGCGCGCTAAAATCCGCCGGGGGCACATTTGCGCATCGTTAACCCCCATGAATGGCCATGCGGATAAGCAACATGCGCAAGTAGAGCGCAAGAAAGGTCGCCAGGCAGAACAAAGAAAGAAATTAAAAGTTTCTCACAGGCAAAAGGGACCACAGGCAGTGGCCAAGCAAAATGAAACATGCACGAATTGTTGCAGCGCACAGGCATCACCTGGTATCGCCAAGGGCGGCGCTGCGCAGTTCTTCTTTACTTAGCTCCGAAGAGCTCCGCTTGAGCCAAACCAAAAATATTCATCACATACCAAAACCATATACAAACATTCATATAGGTATATGGTCATTGTTGACATTCCCTTATAAATGACACACTTTTACGACTAGGCTCGGGGAAGTCTGTCAGTCCACATGGACATATCCTTATCTCACATGAGATTTCGATACATCTTCAACGCACAATCCCCTGTCCACATGGACATGTGCTTATCTCACATGAGATTTCGATACATCTTCAACGCACAATACCCCCAACACGAATGGGAGGTGGGAGCAAAAATTTCCGGCCAAAACACGGGAAAACCCACCCGCCCACCACTGAGCGCACACACTTGTACGACCGACACCCTCCCCGTGATGCCGGCCGGTCCATCTGTCAAAGTGAGACTTCGCGGTTGCCACTATTGGGCAACATGGGGGCCAGAAGGCCAGAAAAACAAACAAACGACAACCACAACAAACAACGAGAGGCGACAACAGGCACACCAACACACGGTGAGACGTCTAGGCACGCTTCCTGTGGAAATTCTTGAAGCGGCTCTTTGCCAAGTGGCAGCAAGAAGGATCATCATCTGCCTGGAGCGGGATCTTGATCAGTGGCTCAACCTTTGGCACTGTTGGTAATGCCCATAAGACTCCATCGAAGTTGGGTGTGGATTCAACGATAATCTGTGCAGTTTGCTCAGCAAATTGCAGTGTCGGGCGGATGTTCAAACCGCCCAATTGGGTTTTCAATCTACGCAGGGCTTTACACATGGTCACAGCTGTGGCGATCTTGGTTGCCGGCCACAAAGGTGCATCCACAAGTGTCGAAAGGTACTCCAAGCTATCCTTGAAGTTTCTTAAGACTTGGGCGGCAGATGTAGGTGTAAAAGCAAGCGCAGGCTCATGGTCAGGTGTGACGTATTTGGGTAAGTACTTTGTACCCTGGTTTATGGGAACAAAGCACTGTGTGACTAGTCGAAAATTGACATAAAGTTCGTACCAAGTCACGTCACTACAGGCATCTTGCAAATTTTTGGGCCAACGAAGGGATTGAACCCATTGGTAAAGCCTCAAAGTGTACGTCGTACCCCAAAACATTAACCGGCGTTTGTCCTGATCCAAGACTGAAGTCGGCCACTGTTCTGTCTGCAGGTATTGCGGCATCAAAACTGCATGTGGCGCAGGGCTCGATGTCTGCGACACGGACTGTCCAGGGTTTTGTGACTTCAAGCTTTTTGCTTGCACAAAAGCTTTATGCATAGCGGCCACACACTGCGTGGCTCGCAATGTTGTTTGGCGACACTTGACGCTAGCCGCGTGGCAATCACGGATTAGCGTGTTTAGTTGGCGATCTGGCAGGTTCATAAGCGCCTGCTTGGCTATACCATCCACGAGGCGATTGCCCTCGTGGTAGAATGCTGCTTTGGTCTCAGAATCTTCAGGCTGCGGCTGGCGGCTCTTGATTTTCTCAAGTTGGAAACCGTGCAAAGGTTTACTAGCGCACACATGGCACAAAGCATAAATGATGTCAAGGTTGTCTCGGTCTCCATGTTCCCCAGGATCTGGGTTAGCAAGGATTTGAGAAACAGTTGTCAAAGCATACTGGGAATCTGTGACAATTACGCCACCAGTGGTATTTGCAACAACCGTTGCAATGGCAAAAAGTTCTGCACGATTGACGCTTTGCCTACCAGGCAACGAACCCGAAGTCGTATAGGCCTGAGTGGTCAAAAGGGGTATTTCCAAGGTACCTGCAACAACATTGGAAAGTGTGTTTGGTTCAAAGGCGACAATAGCCCAGGCCGCCTGGTTCTCGATGTCTCGCAACCTGTCGTGGCAGCTGGCGTCTGTGAAAAAAGTGCTTCGTGCGTCATCCTGGGGTTTGGGTAGTGTCGGGAAAACGATACCTGCAGCCGCTTGCAGTGCCCTCAAACTAGATTCCTCAGGGATTTGATGAGCGACTGGCATGATGCAGAGGTATTTCATATCCTCCGGCAAATGTGTAATCCATTGTTCCCATGGAGCACGGACTTCTCGAAGCGCCTCACATTGGACAACAACATGGTCATCCGTCATTTGGGCGTCGCATAACGGACAAGTAATTTCATCCAGAGGGAGCCAATGGGCCTTCATGGCCACACTTTGGAGCGCGCCTGTCCAGTGGTTTGTCAGAATGGCTAACTCATCTGGTCTAAGTTTGTTGCAACAATGCTTAGTCAAAGTAATGTTGATGGAGTGCAACTCTTGCCACTGTTTTCGATGCAAGGCTGCTGCCGTGACGCAATCATCCCATGTGACGTCCAAGCATCTCAGTAAGTCCTGAGATGATGCGTAGTGCAGATCGACCATGCCAAAGTTTTCCGCTTGCATGCGCATGTTTGGCAGTAATTGCCAGTGCAAATGCTCGGCAAGGCGTGCTAACGAAGCAGCCGGGCCTATTGCATTCGTGCGTTTGGTTTTGTAGCACGGTTGCTGGTATTCACAAGCCAATTCCCAAAGATCACCTACAATTCCCCATCTCTGTCTTGTCAAGTGATGCAAAGTGGTTAGCATGGTTTTTGCAATTGCATACAAGGGGTCGAGATTGGCTTTGGTAGTGAAAACACACGTCATCCAAGGGTTATTGCACGACCGATTTGGCAGTAAAAATTTAGAAATAACTTCACGCAAATGGTCCATGCGGTGAGCAGCTGGAATCATGATCTCACAAGCGTGCGTTGCAACTGGTGTCATCAACTGAACAAGCTGCATCTTCTGGTCCGGCCGAAGGGGCAAGTCTGCTGCTTTCTGAAAGCGTCGCACCGCCTCTGCGAAGCGCGGCTTCTGCAAACAGATACGGCGCCTGCCTCCATAGTGAACCGTGGCTCCCAAATCTTGTGCATGGTCCACGACACTGGGTCGACTCAAGAAAGGCAGTCTAGCTAGCCACTGGGTCCATTGTTGCCGTCCGGCAGGATCAGTCGCGTAGACCCAACATTTCGAGTATGAGATTTTCTGTCTGAACGCATTGGCAAAACGATCAGATTCTCGTAGGCCTTTCGTGGCTTCTTGAAAATCACAAGTTAGGTATTCAAAGTTGTCGGCGTAACTATACGCCGTCGTGTTTGAACACTTTTCTCGGACGAGGTTAATCCACACCGTGCCTAACAAAGCAACAGCAAGGGTGCCAACTGGGTCTCCTTCTGGTACTCCTGTCGTGGAAGCTTGAGGCATGCTGTAATGACGTCCGACCTGAAGCACACGTGTCGCTTGCGTCATGGCTCTGAGCCATGCCGTTGCAATGCTGTGCGGTACTCCAACACGGAGCAGCATAGCGACTACCGGCGCTCGTCCTAAAAGATTAAAACATTTGAGTAGATCCAGGTTCAGGCCAAAACTCGTCCGGTGACCTGAAAGGTTCTGCTCAAGCTGGTGTTGCAAAAGGTACCAAATATCGCGGGTGGATGTTTTGGGCACTCCTCCTGCCAAAGTGCAAGGGAGATGTGGTGCCAAGTGTAATAAAGCATGTTTTACCCAGGCTTTCGACCATACCCTATATAAAAGACTGAAAATGGTAATTGGCCGCGTAGCCTGGCTTTCAAAGTTGTCATCCGATTTTCGCAAAAAAACTGTGCGAGCGGTGGTAATAACCACCGGCCACGGTGCTCCGCACTGTATGGATTGAAAAATTTCCAAAAGGTCAAGGTGAGCCTGATCAGGAAGCGACAAGAGTTCATTCCTACCAAACCCGCAGGCACCTTTGGCCGACATGGGCGACGTCCGTTTGATGGCTTCTTTCCACGTGTCGAGTTGCAGCGGGTTAAGTGGCATCTCCGGAAGGTTTGGAAGATGAGCTTCAAGCAGCGTTGAAGCGTCTTTCCAATTATCAAGAGAGCACTGGTCTTCCGCATTGTCCCTCATCCAGAAAGGAGTCCAAACTGCAAGAAGCTTCTCGACTACGTCATCCGGATCTACAATCCATGTGTGAAACTCGACCGCAAAGACATGCGGCACGTTACTTGGAAGCGTCTGGATTTCCAAATCTCTGCCCTGGACTGAGATGATCCTTGTGCGGTGGTCTTCAATCTTGATCAAATCCCCTGGCAAGGCATCAACTGGGATACTCAACCTAATTTTAGGATGCATTTTTTCCGAGTTCTCACACGGGTTGCAGAACATGTTTCTGGGTGTGTGACGGTATCAGCCGGCGGTCTGCTCGGAGGCTTCAGCATTGCGCAGGTGGACTTACCACCATGTTCCTTCCAATCAACTTGGATTTTTTCAGTAAAGTCCGACTTTCTGTATTGGTTCATGCGCGCATGGTATCTGTCTGAGTCCCCCTTAAGCCTATGCTCGAGGGTTAAGAGCCACTCATGGGTGATATCATTGATCTCACACGGACAATGGCCGATGTGTTTTAGGATCCAGTTCTTAAAAGGCACGAGCACGAAGAATTGCCGTCCACTCCTGCACGAGCTGATGCTGAGGAAACTGTCTGGAAACACATCGTCTGGCGGACATGAAATTCTTTGCAAACGATTGCACTCTGCGGATTTGCCTCACTTTATGACCTGCAGTGTAGGTGAGCACATCGCACGGTGGAGTGTACTGCCCTACCGGTGGAGGTTTTGGCAAGGCCGCTTGCTGGACCCTAGTGAAAACAGGAGCTTTGCATCTTCCAAGATAACGCGGCGGAAGTTCTTGATACCCACACTCGGGTGGCAGAGAAGCTGAAACAGCGTCCTCGACACGTTTCGCCCACGTCTCTAATGCCGCATCAGGGCTCTGGAGGCCGATGCGAGTATTAGTGAAGTGTTTCTCCATGTCTTCTGCTTTCGGATGCAGGTCCATCCAATTTTTGGGCATGGCCCATCGTCTCACACAGCACACTTGTGTTGGCACGCTAAATTGAGCAAAAAACGGCGCATGCTCACCGAAAGATTTCTCAGGATTGACCCAGAAGAAAGAGGCAATGGGTCCTTTAGCCAAAAAAGTGTCATTCCATGTCGAACCGCGACATGTGGGCGGCATGGCATCGGGCCATTTGTGCTTTGCTATCTCTATGAGGTTAACAAATCCTCTGCTCGCTAAAAGGTCACGGTGTTCTTGGGGGTATAACATGGCATTCAAGTCCCCCCCAATCAAAACACATCCCGTGGTTTGACTCGCGCTGGCGAGGACAGAATTGAGTAGGACACAATTAAAATGGTTATAGTCCCGTTGATCTGTGTGGAATCCATAAACTGTTATGCACAAAACCGGGAGGCTACCGACCTGGAGCCAGATTTCCTGGAATCGGCATGTGTCCAACATTGTATGGTTAATTTGGTGCGGCAATCTGGCAGGCAAACTGGTAACGATTGCGACTCCTATACTCTGGCCTCGCAATGAGTCTTCCTTGTGTTGCACACTTCGGGGAAGCACCGGCTTGCCCCAAAATATTTTCTGTGGTGTTGCCGCAAAGTCTTGCGAAATGCTCATCTGCGCACGCTTTGTGGCGCTTGTTTCGGATAAAAAAGTGCAATGCGCATCCAACGACAGAACAGCTGATGTCTTGTTGAAAAAAGCCGTTGGGTTGGTGGCACAGAAGGTAAAAAGTTGCTCGGGTCCAGGGTTCTTGGCTTCACCTAATCTCATTCCGTGGTTGGGCGTCAGCTTATACAGCCTGCAACGCATTTCGCACGGAAGGAAATGGAAAATGTCTAATTCAAAGGTCACGGCGGATCGCATGTCCTTTTTTCGATCACGCATAGATTGCGATCTCAGGCAATAGTGATATCTGTGTGAATTATTCCCATATCGAGGAAACATTTGTCAGATTGATGTTCCTGTGGAACAAACATCCCATTTCGCATGCCAATTTGCATGCCAAACCCCAAACATCGAGGGAAGTCCTCGAATGCTCTTCTGATGAAACCACACCTCTTATGATTCATCAAGTCATTGCTCTGAAACAGGTTCTGAATGACCTTCACTCCAAAACAAGAGAGATGTGATTTGTCAACGAATCTAAATGGATTTCACCCACTCTTGGGGCGCTTATGTTCAAATTCGGCCTCTGGATTGCTTCGCATTGCTCTCACGATCTCTTCACTCTGCACTGCAAGGGCATGTTTCAACTGATCTGCCAACGTGGTGCGAATGCCCTCATTCATACTTTGCATATCAGATTGGATTTGCTGAGCAAATGAGGAAAATTGCATTCGCGTCTGATCTGACAAGGTTTTCAAGTCATTTTGCACGTGCGCAATCTTGTCGGATGTCTCAGTTGCAAGCGTCTCCTGCTTTTGTTGCAATTGAAGCATCTGGCGCTCAAGCTCAACCATTTTGGCATTTTGGGCTGATGCTGGTCCTTGTGGTGCACTCGGCAACGCCTGAGTCTTATGCGTACTCCAAGGATCTAGATCTTGCTTGTCAGCCTTGCTGCTAGCACACATCTGCGGTTGGCCCTGTCCTGCAACCAAGGTGCTGATCAACGGAAGTGAGCATGACTGTATGTCCATTGAGGACGAACGTGCGCTCTTTCACGGGGGCCTCCGAAGCAACATGCCAAACACAGCCACGAGCTCTCTTAACAGGGCGCGCTTTCCATTCCATCTTGTCAAAAACCGCCTCAAGCATGTTGCTGTCGTAAGACGAGGGGAGCCCTGACAGGTTGTATCGGTGAACTGGCCTGATTGGCTCACGGAAAGGATCATCTGGTCTGCAAAGTTTCCACACAGCGGACGCTTGCGAATACAATGTTCGAATGGCAAAACCGTTCCGTCCTTGGATGTATCCAAGATGACCTGCAACAGAGACCAAAATCGCCTCGACTTCCGGTCTGGATGCTGCCCGAGTCCATGTCAAAAGGTAGGTGAGATCGGGTTTGAAATCACCTTCCTCAGCTGGTGAGATGTAGACACGTGAGAATCCAGATTCCTGCATGGCGGTTTCCATCTTGTCTTTCTGGATGGCCACAAAGCATCTGACGGATGTGGCCACTTGCGGCGAAGCCAGTTTGCCGTTGGCACGGAATGATCTGCCCCATACAGCTTTGATTAGTTTCCGATTCTCTAGCAATCTGACTCTCGCAAGGATCTGCCGGGCAGGTGCCTCAATGATCCGGTTCCACTCGTCATTAGTGAAATCTGGTTTGCACACAGTGAGGTGGATGGTAGCAGTTTCTGGCACCTCAGTCTTTAGCTCATCACACGATAACTTGATGTCATTGGGTCCAAGCTGGACAAGGTGCCCTCTGAGAAGAAATTTCCGACCTGCACAATCATATGCCGGAAAGGTGATGGCTTGCACACGAAACATTGCAGGACAATCCTGAGGCGGCGGTTTCATGAGGATGACTCCAAGCTCGTCTGGTAGAGTTTTTCCTGTTCTCAACCACGGTACAAGCTGGTCATAGGTACCGATCATGACACCAGTGGCATTGCTGGAGATTTCCGAAGCGATGCCAATCTCCCCACCTGTGCTGCGGGCAAAAAAAGAGGGATCAAGACGGAAGTCTTTCGGCTCAAAAGACTGCACTTTATGCTTCCCTTTGCCTTTGCCCTTGCTATGGGGTCGAATTGCTGCAGGCTTGTTCTCGCGATCTGAGTGTTCTGGAATCGGGATGTTAATTCCATGCGCTCGGACAAGTGTGCACAATGCCTCATGCTTGTCAATTCCGTCATGGGCATTGACAATTGCATTGAGCTCACTCGCAGGCACTGCGCTCACAGCCTGGGCCACAATCGGCGCTACAAGCTTGGATGGGATGCTTCCCTGGATGAAGATCTGCGCCAATTGACTTTTGATGTGTTGCTTGGCACCTCCAGGCACTCCCACAAGAAAGCATCGGATCACTTGGCCGTCTACTGAAGCTGGCAATTGGTCCAGAGCAATTTGATTACCATTGCTCCTGATCTCGCGAAGTGCTATCGCCTTCTCTCCGCACCACGACTGTGCAATGGCCCAAATGGTTTCCCTCGGATCCACGCGAATTTCCTCAATGTGGTCTCCAGCAAAACCAATGGCCAACCTAATGAAGTTAGGCATTGGAGCAATGTGTGTGTCATGAGCACTGTGTGGCACACTTTGGTCCAGGCACCTTCGCTTAGGCGTGGGTGCATGCGGGGCGTCCCCAGGGACAGGCACGTCAGCAAAATCAACTCGCCAACAATGAATCGGATTGCGGAACATGCACGGGACAGGCAAATGCGTATCAAGGTTGAGAGACACAGGCGTCTTGCCAATTTTGGATCGCACATCACGCACGTCTTTCAGCGGGATGGTGATGTCGAGAAGGCACTCGGTCGAATGGAACAACATTACATGGAACTGCTGCATTTTTCTGCCCTGATTGCGTTGAGGTTGCTTTCATGAATGCTCTCTAACAAGCAGGCCACTTCGCAAGCTTCATGAAAATTCCAGGGCGCCTCCAAGGGCAAGACAACGCGCACAGAATCTGAGTCAACGGGACTGAGCCAATCGCACGGTGTGAAGGACTCACTGTTGCAACGTCTGATGAAAAGCTGTTGGCCTTCATGGGATGTCACGTCAAGAGCTGGTCACCAGCCATGTGCTTTGCAGTCGACAGTCCTGACGGTGACACATGTAATTTCGACAACACTCTTGAACTGCTGGGTTGGTGACACAATCTGTGAGCTGGAAACAGGGTGAGGTTGCTCTTGCCCAGGAGTCGTGGGCGGAGTCGACTGGTCCATGATGATCCAACCTTGCCCATACTGACTCACATTTGCATTGAACCGAGTCATTTTGCGAAGCAAAAGCCGCGCAATACAGGTTTCTGGGTTCAGATGACTGATGATGCCAGCCCGAGCATAGACGTTGATGCACTGACGCAACACGATTGCTGCATGGCACACTGAAATCGCATTGCCTACCATGCGGGCCGCACTTTTGACGTCTTCAGGGAGGATCAAAAAATCCGTGTTCACTAGCGCGAGGGCAGTCTCAAACGGAGATAGAAAACGGTAAATGTTGGTTTCCGGGTGGCAATTGACAATCTGGCCAAAAAGTCCTTTTTCTTGCAAAAGGTCATCAGGCAAATCATGCTGCGTGGTATACGCAGCCATGGCCGTGGCAAGTCGACCTGCATTGCACACTTCACGGCTGGCAAGAGTGTCACCCTTTCGCATGAACCTTGGATGTGCGTAGCGCTCCAGAGTGTCTGGGTCAAGTGTCAAACTATCACGGTGACCAGGGGGCAACGAAAGTGGCACCACCGCACGAAGTGAAAGCTTGATGGGCCGCAAGGCTTGCCACATGACTGTGAACGGTGCAGGATCACGGAAAGGGGTCAAACTGTCAATAAGGATGGCAAGCCACCTGCGTCTGTTCGTACAGCTGGCATGTTCCAATCCATCTTGAACGGTCTGCCACGCAATGCGATACTTTGCGTCAGTGAACAAATTCCGCAAAATGGGCCAATGTTCATGCTCAACCAACGGTGCCACGTTCTCCAACAGAATGCACCGGGGTCGTGCGATTGATATGGCTCTCGCAAATTCATGCCATACTCTGCCCTCAGGTGACTTCAAGCCTGCCTTTCTGGACGCCGAGCTCCACGGTTGACACGGTAGGCTTGCCGTCCAGATCTCGTGCTGTTGGATGTTCTGAATCAAATGCATCGACCTGGCGTTGAAATCTTCGCACAAAAAAGTATGAAGAGGAATGATTGACATGCTGAGGAAACTCTCCGTCGTAGTAACTTCAGTGTCGAAATTCTTTGCATACACTTCTGCGGCAATCGTGTCGTGGTCGATTGCTGTTTTGACCATGAAGAGGTCTTTCAAGGAGATGTCAGCATTGATAGCACGAGACCAACCTGCATACCCACCAGCAAAAGTCTCACAAACCGCCAAAGGAAAACGTGGAGTCTCACGGAGGGATCGACAGAAAGAAGATTGCTGAATCGCCGCGGGCATTCCATCTTACCTGGTGCAACGTGCAGGTACGGCCTGGCTCAAGGATGGGCAAGCTGCATGTCGTCTTGATGCAAACTCGAGTTTTCGAACCGAGGTTGTGATCTGGGTTGATCATGTCGGTGAAATAAACGAAATTGTGACCATCAAACTCATTGAGCTCCAGGCGGGCGCAAAGAACAGACACGACACGTTGGTCCTTCAAGTTGGTGGTGTGAGCAACCAGAATGGCCGTGCCAAGAAAAGATTCCTCATCTCCACGCAGGTCAAAAACAGGCTTCGGCACAGGTAAGGATCTGGGCGTTCGAGGTGGCCGAACAGGCGATCCTAGATACAAAATCTCACCTTGTAAAGTGTGAGTCATAGCATTGGCTGAGATCTGTCGGCCTTGCACGAAACAAGCATCTGCGAAGCGCTGCAAGTCCACAATGCCCAAGGCTTGCTTGATTGACACGTCACTAGGCACTTTCAACCTGAAAGGTCCCCAGCATAATGGCAGCACAATCTGCAAATCCATCTGTGGATAAGGGCCATCGCACTCCATAGCGTCTACTGAAAAGGTGGAACTAGAGGCTCAGCGAACCAGGTTGCGCTGTGGCAACTTCTAGGTGACACCCTTGAGCCAAAATGGCTTGAGCCAAAATGGCTTGAGCCAAAATGGCTACGGCCACCACTGAGCCAAATTTACGTTCGGCTGCATGAAATACATTGTGCACATGCACAAGCAAATACTATCACGCCAACCACGTGTAACCAATAAGAACCGAGGTTTCATCAACACGTAAGGCAAACCGCGCACAGGCACAACTCAAGCGGGCCCCAAAAACCCCCCCCCCCAAACATTAAGGGGGGGGGGGAGTTCTACGCACGCAAAGAAGGTTTTATCTTCTGCGAAGAGTGGCACCTTCTTTACTTAGCTCCGAAGAGCTCCGCTTGAGCCAAACCAAAAATATTCATCACATACCAAAACCATATACAAGCATTCATATAGAAATATGGTCATTGTTGACATTCCCTTATAAATGACACACTCGCACTATTTTACGACGTCCACATGGACATATCCTTATCTCGCATGAGATTTCGATGCATCTTCAACGCACAATCCCCCGGCACTAATGGTTGAAGACACCAAGCCTTGCGAGAATATCATCTAAGATTACACATGATCTGTGGGTTCCTTCCAGACCTTCAAACTGGCCTCTGGAGGGTCCATCAGAGATATTGGCTGCACTTGCAACACGCTCATACCATGTCGCCAGATCTTCACAAATTTCGGCCGTAGTGACAAAGTCAATGACCTTGCTCAGCAAGGTGTTGGTTGATCGGCAACTGATCAAAGAGGAACGCGCAGCTTCATTATCACTGAAAGCCGAAATGTCAACATGCTGGAAAATGTCCGAATGAATCACAAAGGCCGTTGCAATGGCCAAAGCCTCCGCCTGACTGTGCACTGCATGTATTGCATCCAGTTGAGGCGGAGTCAAAAAGGTACCCAAGACCGGCCACTCCTCCAGGTTCGTAACAAGCATCTGTAAACAAATGGAAAGTGTCACGATGCAGGCGCTGGAGTGACCTGGGAGGACCCTTGCAAACGCACTTCTTGAATTGTTCGAGCACCTCCATCATACGGCGGTCTAACACACAGCCAGCCGGGTGTTTGGACATCCAAGTCAACTCGCCAAAGAGGATTCGTGTGTGCCTTCCAAAAACTTGATTGTTTGCGAACCACAAACGCCCTCGCAACACTGCTATCTCACCACGTTGAAGCTTCCCTCTCTGAAGAATGCCATTAATGAAGAACTCCAATTCGCGCTGTCTCTCTGCAGTGTTCCTGACATACACTATGCCCGAATTGCAGTTACCTAGGTCGAAAATCACGCCAAGCGCCTCTGCACAGGAGTCAAAAGCAGACCCCTTGTCGTCCGCGATCTCCCATCCTAGCAGAGAAAAGAAAGCAGTCACAACAAGGTTGAGGCGCATTCTCAGAGGCATCATCTACAAGGATAAAGTCATCAAAATACACACTCCAACGCAGGTACAAAAGGGAGACTCCCAGCTGCCAAATAGCCGTGAAGTGCGGCAAAATCCCATGACAGCGGCTCGGGCACCGAAAGGAAGAACAAGGCTCTGAAAGATCCTTGGCTGACGGTCACCAGGATCGACAACCACGATATACGCATCACGTAGCGCCTTGTCAGAAAGAGGCAAATGTTTGTAGGCCTTCCATGGTGCGGATGTTGAGGTTCTCGCTAACACCTTGTTCTTTGGCAGCACGAATTCTGAGAGCGACACCAGACACTACCGCGTCAATACCGCGCACTTCGATGGACTCACTGCTGCTGTTCGTCAAGTTGATGAGGCTTTCAGTGTAGTCGTCAATCGGCCTGACCTTGGGGACCTGCACCCCGTCCACAACATGAGTGCCTTTTGACCGTAACATCTGATTCACGCCTGGCTGAGTGGATAATACCTTTTCGCGTCTGGGCCGCAGTCGCGCGAACGTGATCCTCGCGCAAAGATGCAAACGTGGCTTTTGTCTGGAATACGCCTGAAGGAGGGATTGGACCCATGAGGTCGAACCCCTCCTTCATGCAGTCCGCAATTGCAGAATCGCCATAACCACTGTGCAACAACATCTCCTTGAACAGCAGGATCCTTTTCGTCCCAAGCACACTGGCTCTGCGCTGCGGCATGTCACGCTTCATCTGGGTTTCATCGTCCCTGAGTTCCAAGGCTCTCAACATCCACTTGCGCATTTGTTCAGTCCTGGACGCCGCCAAGTTCTTTTTACTGCAGGAAACGTTGTCAACAATACACTGCTCAAGCTCCTTGCTGATTCCAGACACAAATTGCTTTGGGTGGCGGGCCCCTTTGACTTCTAGCAAGAACTCATCTGGTGTCCAAGACAAACCCAAAGTGGCTTCCACCCAACCGTCTTCCGCCGGATTGGAAGAATTAGCATCAAAGCCGGTCACAGACTCTGTCGACGCAAATTCTGTTGAAGACATTGTTGAAAAGTCCGCCGCCATTGCGCCTGTTGAAGAGTCCGTCGCCATTGCCCCTGCTCCAAAGGACGGCACTGAATGATCTTGGTGCCTTTGGGGTCAATTCGGCTATGCCCTGTGTTTCGCAATCAGTGAAGACAGAGACAGAGAATGAGGCTGTAGCTGGAAGAAGGGCTCTCCAGATTTTTGGCATTCCTTGGACGCCCGAGGAGTGTGTGTATCAAGCAGCGTTGCGCAAGCGCCCCGGGATCTGGCACAGTTGTTGCCGGGTGACCTTTCAGACGTGGTGGGGTGCAATTCCCCGGACACGGCTGCAGCGTGTGCTTTGGGAAGGACTGAGACAATTCGACGCTGGGCTTTTAAAGCGTTGGAGTTGCGAACAGAGGATGCAAGGTTGTGCGCTGCTGCGCCCGAGCATTGCAGGGAGACACTGAGCGCCAAGAGGCCGGCTATGTTGAAGTTTCTGCTTGATGAGATTGGCTATGAAGATCGTAGCCTCCCGCAGCAGCTCCTCACTGGGTTCGATTTAACTGGCCCAGTGCCAGTGAGCAATGTTTTCAGGCCGCGCATCAGGCCTGCCACCATCACGCGTGACAAGCCGGTCGCTTGAGGGAAGCCACCTTGTCCAGCGTTAGATCATCCGGTGATCCTCATGTCGATCAGGACCTTTAGAAGGTCACCTGTGAGGAGGTCAGGAGAGGCTGGCTGCGGGGGCCGTTCAAGGAGTCAGACATTCCTTCACACAGTTCTGTGAGCCGTAGATTCTTGGTTGTTCAGCATGGGAAGGTTTGGCCAATTGACGATATGGCAGCCAGCTGTATTAACTTGGCAACGGCCAGGGCTGAGGCAATAAGTGTCCACAACTGCGACGTCGTGGTCGGGCTTGCTGTAAGTTTGATGAGGGCTGACAGCAACCGCCAAGGTCAGCAATTGCTGCTGAGGTTGTGGGACCTTAGCAAAGCGTGCAAAAAGTTTTCAATTTCCTTGGAGTCACTGGACGACGCGTACATTGCGCTTTATCGACCGGGCGGTGGGCACGAGATTTGCCAGGCCGTGGTTCTCCCGTTCGGCTCAGTTGCAAGCGTCAACAACTTTGTTAGGTGCGCATTTGCAGTGTGGACGATCGGGGTCAGGGCTTTGAAGCTCCCGTGGTGTGCTTTTGCTAAACTTTTTCATCCGAGACGCCTGCACGGGCTCACAGTTCGTACATGCCGTTTCGCATGGACCAACACAAAGCGGAAAAACATCGTTCACCTAATCATGAACTACATGTGTGTCACAAGGGGTCTACGGCGCCTTACATGTTTAGCACCCCGCCTCAGATTAATCCGAAGCGTTGAGGATTCATCTGAACCCGGCCGCTCTCCGAGCCGCCAAAAAAACATGTGAAACCTAAAGCTGCTTCTCGCCCTCTGACCCATGCCTGACTAAGCAGGTGGTCGCAAAACGGGCATCCATTTCGGGACCATCTCACCGGCCAGTCCTTTGCGCACTCTGCCTTCTCTCTCTTGCAGCAGTGCTAGAGTAAGCACCTCGCTCAACTTGAAAAGCATCAACCTCCTGAGACGAGCTGCTAGTGGTAGTATGTCTGCGCCGGCTTCCAAGAGCATGGCATGAATGACATACCTTGTAGTGAGCCGCTAAAGCCTGATCTTCAGTCACTCGGCTCACCTCTCTGTTGATAACCCACTTGCAAGCACGCTTGTGAAAGTGGCGACCGTTCGGCGTCACCCAAACATACACTGAATTCACCTCCGCTGTTGCATCCTCTGCTGACTGCACTGCCAGGGGTGCACGTGAGTTCTGTACTGGTTGCCTTCTGCAGGATTTGAAAACCCACTGAAAAGCTGTCCACATTCCAAGCAAAACGAACATCACAACTGCGAGCACGCACAGTACAAATGCAATATCATGCAAAACATAGCTCAAACCATTGGGCTCTGGGCTCAAGGCGTCTGTCACATTGGAGCCAGCCGCTCCAGTGACCATTGAACTCGCAAGTCCAATTCGCAAAATCTTCTTTGCACTCTGATTCGCTCTTGTACACGAAACTCCATCTGCATCCTGCACCTCATGAGCAATCCTCCTGATGACACCTTTGAGGTGCAGCTTCACGTACTCCTCTTCTACTTCTTCTTCACCGACCAAAGCATAGTCTTGGCATTCATCTCGCACGCTCAAAAGATTCAGCAAAAACTTGATACGACACTTGCTCAGCGCTTTCGTTCCAAGATCTGCCACATTCCATTTTGTACCAACGCTGGCTACCTGCAGGGTGCCATCCTGTGTCTTGGCTTGAAGCCACAAGTACTTGGCTTCGAGATGTCTCACCTTCCCAGCACCTCTGCGTGTTTGAATTCCTCTCGCAGCTGCTGAGTCACCAATAAGCTTCACGAGCAAGTTGTCTCCACTCCCAAGAATGAACTCAATCCCGGCCTTGAGATAAAGACCGTCAGCTGCTGCAGAAACACTGGCGTAAAATTCGCTCTCTCCAGAAGAAAGACTCACCGCTTTCTGCACCCTCGAGCTCGAGCGCAGAATCTGATTGTTGAGCAGGATCACACAGGAAGAAACTGACCTCCTTGTCTGTGGATCTCCTGCCCAATCCGCATCACTCTTTCTTTTTTTTTTTGAACTTGATGACGCGCGCCCTCAATCCGTGACACACGCCGACTAACGGCCCGGTCAAGATATTCAAGACCGGAAGTGGGGAAAAAACCGCACCTGATGCAACCAGACCAAGAACCAAGGGGGCCCAAAGGAACCAAAAAGGGGGCCCAAGAACCAACAAGAACAAAGCATCAGGCGCAGCAATCTACTGCGTGCGGGCAAGAGGTGCAAGCCCGTCTTGTGTCTTCTTCCAAGCTCTGAGTCTAAGCGCGGCAAGGACATCTGGCTTTTCATCTGCTGGCATTTCAAGGTTAACGACCGGTTCCAGTGTCGGGATTTCAGGCCTTCCCGCACCACCGAAGCGACCAGGCTTACACGTAGACAAGACAGCCTGCTGAACAACAGCAGCTGTTTCTTGTGATCTGACGAGTTCTGGTCGTTGAATCAGGCCAGAGCCATAGTCAATCGGTAGTATTTTCTGGAGTGATCTGATGCAATTAGCCTCTGGGTATGGGAAGAGAGGCTGGTGCAAGAGCATAGCCACAGTGCGCATGGAGTCTACCCACAATCTACGAATGGCTTTTTCACTAAGCTTTTCAGTAGTAGTACGTCAGCATTTTGCTCAGGTGTGCAGTACTTTGGCTTCTTTGAATCTTTGGAGATGTTAGGGCACTTCCGATTGGGTCACAAGGCGAAAATTAACATAGAGTTCAAACCAGGTGATGCCAATACATTGTTTGGGTTGACCCCATTTGAGCGTGCGCGCCCAAGCAATGAGACGGCGCATATAAGTGTGGCCATATAGGCAGAGTTCACAATGCTTAACCTGCAAGTCACTAATATGCCACTCTATGGCTTTCCACTCGTATGGTGAGGACGTCCAATTGCCTCTCTCTGCGGGTCTGCCCTTGGTTAGGCTGCGTGGCTTCCCCTTGAGAGGAGCTGATTGTTTTTTCCCTTATCTGTTTAATCTTGGCTTCCTGCACGTCTGCAAGGTATTCAAGTGCACAGCATGTGAACTTATTACGGTCACTCCAATCAGCATCAAGTGTCTTCCTAAGTTCACAAGTAAGAGGATTACCTACTTTCCTTAGGCAACCGGCAGCTGCATCTGCACAGTGATTCCCGATTGCATTATATTTATCATGAAGGGTAGCCAGATCAATGGGATTCTGATGAGATTTGATCTTCTGAATGCTAATTGTGAAGTCACTCCCCTGTATAGCCTTACAAAGGAAAAGGATAAGGTCAAAGTTATCCCGGTGCCAATGCACGAGGGGTTCTGGTTTATGTGTGACTGCGGGAAGCAAGTCCACGACATACTGACTATCGCAGTATATGTGAAGGCTTTGCGCCTGTCGGAAACAGAGAATTGCATAGCACACAGCCAAGAGTTCTGCACGATTCACTGTCTGACGCCCAGGCACGAAACCTACTTGCACCACTTTAAAGGTGTCAGGTAGGCGGAAAGCTGTATTCCAATGCCGCGTGCTCTGGTTTCTCTGGTAGTCGTTGGCGCACGTGTCCATCACGATGGCCCAGGTGGCCTCTCTGAGGACGTGATTCAATGTTACGTTGGCAGATCCGTCAGTCCAAACAATGACATGGCCATCGTTGGTCTGATGCTCAGGCAGTGGAAAGGAGGTATTCTGCCTTATAAGCCTGAGTTCTAGCTCTGTTGAGAGCTGGGGTGCTACCGGAAATGCCAAATAGGGGCGCTGCCCAACTGCTAGTTGCGCCAACCAATCATGCCAGGCATCCCGAACATGCACGAGGTTTGGGCAGTCGAGCTGGTCATGCAAGAGACCTGGTTGTTCTTCGCCACACAGTATGCATGTAACCTCTGCTTTGGGTTTCCAGTGTATTTGCATAACTGGGTTCTGAAACGCTCCGGTCAGGTGCCGTTTTACCAAGGCTCTTTGTTTGTCACTGAGTGCTTGTAAAAGGAACGCTGTGTGTGAGACATCAACGGTGTCAATGTCTTGCCAGGTTTTCCTTTTGAGCGCTTCTGTTGTAATCACGTGGCTCCAGGTGGTCAACAGGAAGTCAGTAATGTCAGGCCTACTCATCTGTGTCAGATCCAAGGTCAGGCCATCTGGATTGACAAGTACAAAACTGGAGTTTAGTTTGCAGTGCAATAGCTCGGACAATCTAGCAAGTGCAGCGGCAGGCCCAGGCCTGTGCACCCTGGAATTATGAGAATGGCTTTCAAGCAAATGTTGGGCATTTGCCCAGACTAGCGTCGGCATTTGTCCCTAACATCTTGCGGCATAATCTTATAATTCGCGTGGCCACATAGTAGAGCGGATCACATATCCGTGATGCCATGCAGGTGCAAGACATCCAGGGATTAGCGCAGGATTTATTGTCAATCAAGCAGGCTGTAAAAGCAGACCTAAGATGTGAAAGTTTTCTAAGAGAGGGTAAGAGGCCTTCACACCCATGCAAGGCCTGGGGCAGAATGGAGGCATGAATTGCCTTCGCAGTATTCTCAGTAGAGAGTGGGAATCTTGAAAGAGTGTAGGCTCTCCTGATGCCCTCATTGATCCTTGCTTCCTGATTTTCTGTGTGCCTAAAGCCGGTATAGTTAGCCACAGTTCCAAGGTCGATACCACTAGTTTTGAAGGGTAATTTTTTGGTATCAGGCTGGCCTATATTGTATCTCTCCCAGGCAGTTCTACCGGCCTTGGAGGTGGCCCAGGACCAACTCTTAGCGTAGGAGATATACTGCCTCCAGGCACAATGGAATGCCTGATTAGCGTCTGCTGCGAGCGTGATGAATCGGGGTTCACAATGGTACTCAAGATTATCCGCATAGGCGTAGGGTGTGGTGTTGAGGCTGGACATCTGCCACGACCACAGGGCTCCGTACGCTGCAATCGAGGCAATCCCCAGCGGGTCACCTTCGGGAATGCCAGTTGTGGAGGTAACTGGCTCTGATGCGACTCCCTGAATAATGATTAACCAAGTGTCAACAATATGCGGTGGTGCACCTAGTCTTCGGAACAGTGCACCCAGAGGTCTTCTGGCCAAGTAATTGAAACATTTTTTCAAGTCCGTGGCTGGGCCAGCCATGTCCTGCTTGTGCAGGATGGCGTTTTCTATGCGGGCTTGTGAAAGCCACCATACTGTTTCTGAGGTGCGGCCAGGGATCCCTGCTGATACAGCTGATGGAAGGTGATGGGCCCATTCATTAATCAAGCATTTATTCACAATTTTAGACCAAAGTCGGAAAGAACACTGTGATGGGACGGCGGCCTTCAGGCGAGAAGTCATCAGGGTTTTTCTGGAGAAAAATGGTGCGTGCTGTGACAAGGATCTCAGGCCAATGCGCACCTTGCTGCAGTCGCTCAAACACATGCAAGAGATCCTCTAAGGCAACATCCGGGAGGGACAGCAACTCGGGACAACTGAAGCCACAACATCCTTTGGCAGTCTTTCTTTTGGTAGTTGCCAAAGCTTCTTTCCATGCTTGGACAGTAAGCGTCGGAATTTTTATTTCCGGAAGCTGCGGAGCGTATTTATCGATAAGCTGGAATGCGTGAGGCCAATGTTCGTCTTGGTCTCTCTCCTCTGGTGTGTCGCGCTGCCAAACCGGCTGCCACACGTCAAGTAGATTATTGAAGGCAATATCGGCAGACGCCGACCATTTTTCGTGATAAGCTTTAAATGTGGCGCCAGTGTGTGGAAGCAAGTCCAACACACACACATCGTTTGAAGGTTTCTGCAGAATACGGCATCGTTCCCCATTGATGATGAGGATTTCACCCACGGCAAGCTTACACTCGGCGACAAGTATACGAGGTTCCTTTTTGGCAGTGGCTCTCAAACGTGTACACGTATAGCAAACAGTAGTGGTCATATGGTTGGCCGCTGCAAAGGCAGGCTTACGTAAAAGCAAGGCCGTGAATCTGCCTCCATGCTGGCCCCAATCCACCTCGAGCTTCGTCCTGAAATCTTTTGTACGCAGGGTGCGACTCTGGCAAGCAAACTGATCACAATCAGTTCGACAGTGCAAGATGACTTGATCTACCCATCGGAGGGCTTCCAAGTTGATACAATCCAAGTACCACACACCTGTGCACTGTTGGATCCAGGTCGGAAAGTCGGGTGTATAACCTTTAGCAGTCCTGATGGCATTCCACAGGTGTCGCAGCTGGTCATGGTGCGCAGGTGCACCGGAAGGCCCACAATAAGTAGCAAGCGTGCGACGGAAAGAATAGAGTCTCCTGACCTGCCGAGTTTTATGAACAGCTGTGAACGACACAAGATCCACAAGCGGGTCATAAGTCCTATTATTTGAGAACTTTGGCAATGGCGCCGGCTGTATTTGCCTGAAGACGGGCCTCTGGCATCTTCCACGGTACACGGCAGGCAAGTGATCGGCTCCGTCTGGATCCCCACTAGATTTCAATGCACTGTCCACTGCGGCTTCCACTGCACCGGCCCATTGCGATAAACAATCTTCAACCGAATCAGCAGTAGATTCTGTGAAGGTGGGTCTGGCGCGTTGGTATTCGGTTTCTATGAGACATGGATCAGGTTTGAGCTTTGTCCAGTCTTTTGGTAGTTTCCATGCCATGACTGCTTCAGTGTGTGTGGGAACTAAAAAATGCACGGTAAAGGGCAGATGGGCCCCAAGGCCTTTTTCTTTATGA